CCCCAAAACCCCAAAACCCCAAAACCCCAAAACCCCAATAATTATTCATTTTGGGAATATTTGTAAATTTAAAAATTAAAAAGATGTTGAGTGGCAAAATATATGACTACATCAAGGAGTACATCTCGGACTACCTCTTTGGATTCGACCGGTCCCAGATCGACACCTCTTTGCTCAGCGGAAAGATGAAGATTAAGAGAGTGAATATTAAGCCAGAGAAGATTAATCAGATGATTGAGAATTTTCTACTTCCTGTCCAACTCAAAGCAGGAATAATAAACTTTTTAGAGCTGAAGATAGGTAAGATTAGCATGGACATGTGGAACATCCCTATCACTGTGAATATTGATACCCTGCTGTTGATCTTAGGTCCTTCAACTTCCCATATGTCTCAGGAGGACGACTTCGTTCCGAGCCACAAGGGTAATTACGATCCTGATTCTTGTTTTAATTTCCTTGATACCAATCTTAAACTCCAGAGAGGCAAGATGGATGATGAGAAATATGAGAAATTAAAGAAAGAAAAGAGAGAAGAGGTCCTCTCTGCTGCAGAGACCATGACAGAAATGATGAAGAAGCTTAAAAAGCTTAAGTTAAATATCAGAAAAGTCCATATAAGGTACGAGGATGATTACTTTGAAGCAGAGAATCCTTTCTCTTTTGGAGTCATAGCTGATGAGATTACTCTGGATACACAAAAAGACTCACATTCTTACCATCATGACGAAGAAGGGGACATTGTTTCAAAGATCTTAGATGCTAAGAATATTCGCTCCTACTGGAACTCAATGAGTGAAACATTCATTCCAACAAGTCTATGGGAGCAGACAAAAGATTTAGACAACAGAATTTTCGAAGCTATTGCGGCTGATGATTTATTTGAATTGATGTATGAGCCATTTGAGTCTAGGAGTGGAAAGCAGTACTTCTCAAACAAGGATGAGCTAATCCTCCCTTTCAACCTTAAGTTCAGTCTTGATTTCAAAAATATTGAGGGAACAAAGATGTCTATGAGGATGGATCTGAATATTGACTCACTGAAAATTGAGATTAATGACAAAGTAATAGCCGATCTAAAGAACATGCTCAAATTCTGGGAAAATTTCAAAATTGCACACATGATTAAATAAGTACGTTCCTCAGAACAGGCCCATTGTAGAGAGCACTGCTGGAAACTCACAGAGCATGAGGAGGAAGCGTAAACTTATCGCAAGAGACTGGTGGCAACTTGTAATCTGGGCTAACAGAATGAAGAAAGTTAGAGCTTTACAGTCAGATCCTAGGTATTTTGAACACATCCGGTGTAAGTATTCTTTATCCACTCTCTATAGCTATGAAAAGGAGTAAAAATAAGGAAAGCCTTCAGACTTTCCAAGACATACTCTTTTTAAAAGACTTCACTAACGAACTTCAGGAGGTTCAGAAAGCAAATGATGTGGAGAATAGTAGACTTGAAGTAATGAAGATCCTCTGGAAGCATGTCTCATACAGTTTCGATATTGGCTTTATCTCAGTAGATTATCACGGTGAAAATAGCAAGAGCTCACATGGCCAGATGGTTAAAAATAAATATCCTCTTCTAAGATTTGAGATTGATTCCTTTGTGATGAAATATAAAATTGACAGGCAAGGCAGGCAAGCCAACATTTACTTTGATGATCTTGAAGTGAAACAGTATTGTAAAGTAGCTAAAGCAATACCAAATGGGAAAAGCACAGCAAGAATTAGGGACTGAAATATTCCAAGGCCTAATAGGATGATTAGAAACCAGTCTTTTCTACCAAATCAGCCCAAAACTGTGAGGAGAAAAGACCCCATTGATAATACTCTAAGCTGCATTGAGAGGCAAGAGAGACTCATGATGGGCCACCAAAGAGCAACTATTGAGAGTAGCTTTGAAGATGACCCAATTGATGAGTTTGATAGTATTGGTGAATCTAAAATAAATAGCATCAACAATACTATCTTTGCTACTAAAATGATAAATAAAGGGAACAAGAAGTCTTTTATGCAATCAAGTGCTTCATTATTACATCCTCCTCGTCATATTTCAAAAAGACCTTCAAGCAGCAGTCGATATCATGATGAACACATAATGATGAGCTCTCGTAGGAATTCTTTTGCTGATGAAAAAGAAATAGAGAGCGGAATTAGAGAGAAAATATTGTTCAGCATCTCCTCTGAGAACAATTCAGGTGCTTTCTCTTATGAAGTCATGGTCGGCTATGGAGCTGATAAAATCACAAGATTAGTCCAGATAGGTCAAGTCAGCATTAACATGGACCCACAAGGTCTCAAAAGTACAGCACAAGCCTTTGAAAATTGCCAGGATTTGCTACATAAAGTCAGCGATAAACCAGATATCACAAATGATGCTTTCTGGTGGTTATTTTCAAGAAAAGTTTTACAGAAGCTTAAAAATGAGGAGAATAAAGAGAATAGAGCCAATAATACCTCCAATGAGTTAGCTCGTCATAATCAGGAGGTTCATACCAAGATGAAGTCACAAGATATGTCCAATCGTTCAGATCAGTCTATGCAAAGAGATTTTGAGAAGAAAAACTTTACTGAACTTTACGAAGTATTTATTGAGAAATTTGATAAAGATTTATTCGGAACAAATGATATTCAGTACCAAATTAACATCAAAGGATGCAAATTTTTGTACAAAGGGAGACATCAGTCTTTAAGTAAGTTGATTATTCTGATCGTATAGATTGTGAAGCTCCACCAATGAACTTAAATATCACTCATAATAAAGGAAGCTTGACTCACATTTCATTCTTGGGATTTAAATTGACAACAGATATGACGGTCAGGCCGATAGTCAACATTTTAAAGACCTTCATCCAAGTCGATTCAAGACAAGAGAAATTACAAGAATCCGGAGCTCAAACTAAGGTCTGCCAGAGCCTTGAGAAGGCGAGGAAAGACCCAAAGAATATCCTTCTTCAGAAACCTAAAAAGCAAAAGGAGGAATATAGAGGTCACTCTAAATGTCGAAATCAGAAATTGAATAAATTTGAAGGCGATAATGATGAGACCATGGTTATTGACGAGAGCATTCACAATACTACACCACTTATTGGTACTTCAAAGCCATCTGCTAAGAAAGAGGAGGCTGAACCAGTGGCTCCTAATCTAATAATCACACCAAAGAGCACCCAAAAGATGGGCCACGGAAGGATCAATAGATATTACTTCAATAAAGCTCCAAACTCAGGACAGTCCAAGAAATTTCATAAGGAGAAAATAAAAACAGATTCTTCTAGGGATATGAGAACTGATACTAAGGCCGGCAAAATTCCTCATAATTTCAATAGCAACTTCGGCTCGAAGTTTTCTCAAAGAAAACAAAACACCGAGATGAAAAAGGCCTATGTTGACGTCCTTGAAGATATCGATAGAAGGAACAGACTCGATGACGAAATAAGCTCTATATCTACCCGCTCAGAGCTGATGAATGGAGCCAAGAGGTTCAATAAACCAAACCTAGGCATTAATGTGAATATCAGTAGTCAGAGACAAATAGCTGCTCAGCGGAGAACTCCTCAGAACTCTTACCCTGACAGACCAATAGAGACTGCCGGAGAGCGGAAGACATCCGGGTTCTTAGATGCCTACAAGAGGAGAGCGGGCAGAACTAATGGAGGGAGACTTCAGCCTACAAAAACAAGCGAGTATTATGATGTCAATCCTTCCCATCCATATTATGAGAAGACAAGGACTCCTATGAACCAAGGACTGTCTAAGTACATGTCTTCAGGAATCTCAAAGGACATGAACAAGGATTCGTTTAGTCATTATAGTGAGCGCTAATATTCAAAATTTAAATACGCTAATTTCAATCCTGATTGATCTTTGTGGGGTTTTGGGGTTTTGGGGTTTTGGGGTTTTGGGG